GAGAGAGAGAGAGAGAGAGAGAGAGAGAGAGAGAGAGAGAGAGAGAGAGAGAGAGAGAGAGAGAGAGAAAGAGAGAGAGAGAGAGAGAAAGAGAAAGAGAGAAAAAGAGAGTCGGAACGTTTCCCGAAGCTTTCAGGAATCCGAGCGCGTTCCGTGTCGTTCTTCTCTTTTTCCTCTTTCCTTCTTTCCCAGCGGACGCGCATCACTGGGGGGATTATTCGCCCGGGAGGATGCGCCGCATCCTCTTTGCCGGACACCCCGTATACGCCGCTGTAATGATTAGGTACCTAGGTAGCTAGGGTAGGTAGGTATAGTCTCGCGCGCGCGAGAGAGCGACTACAACAGCTGCGCTTCGCGGACATCCGCGAGATTGACGGATCTGTCCGGTGATCGATACCTGTGATTGGCACACACAGTCGCGTGCACCGGCGATAATGCCATTTATTCTCGGTATCGTGCGGCTCAGCCTCGTGCAATATTCGCAATAACGGACATGTAACCTTCATATTTGAACGCCGGCGTGCCAGCGAGCGAAAATCGAGCGACACTGAATAAGTGAGAGAAAAAAGGAAATTGGAAAAATAGAAAGGAGAAGAGGAGGGGAAGGGGGGGGGGAGAGAGAGAGAGAGAACCGAGCGTGCGAATTCGCGGAGGATATTATGTATCCCCGATCGTTGGCGCGGCGGCGAGAGTTTTGAGAGCTCGTTAGAACCTCGCCGTTTGCTCTAGCTGGAAAAATTTCGCTAATTCCACTTCAAAGGCGAACGGTCGTCGTGAGGAGGTAGGGGCGAGAGGGGGTGGCGAGATCATGAATTGGGCCCGACCCGGCGAAGGAAAGCCGTGATAACCGGCCGGCGGCTCGCTTGTGTTGGCAAGAAATGAGATATGCTCGAAATTTGGCACACCACCAAGCGCCACCGCAGCTTTCGGCCGTCTACCTTCTGCACCCTACAAACTGCGTGCCGCTGGCTGCGTTATATTCCGTGTTATGAGACCGCGACCGCAGCTCGCCGTGTGTGTACTGTGCTTCGCCGCTTTGGCGACTTGATTTCGCGTTTCTCACTCGTGAATTCCAAAGATAATTATTTCAATAATTTCTCGCACGTGTATCTCTGCCCCTGGATTTAGGCAGTATTTTTTAATTAACAGTTTTGTGGCAGAATTGTGTCGTAAATTTCAAGATTGCGTCCACGCGGACTGTTTACGTGTTATTGTCTGCGTCATGTTAACGCGGCTTCTTTTCATATGCTGAAAAAAACAATACTTGAGAATTTATTTGTGAGATGCAAAGTTTATTTCTGCATGAAATAAACTTTTATCTCACAAATAAATTTGCAATGTAATATTTCTTTCTTAGAATATAGACAATACGAAGGATAAAATTTGATTGTATTGAATGAATACAACGAGTTAATTGGTTGAAGAGGAATTTCCGGTTCTTAGAACCAAATTTGCATTTGATCATAAGAACCAGAAATGCTGTGTTGTTCTACTAGAAAATGTTGATTTATTCGTGAGAACAAAACTTCACGTTAATACAACCAAATTTTTTCTCCATTAATGTGCACTATGCACAGTATTTTAAATTATAATAAAATATACAAAAAAGTAATTAAATTATTAGGCAGTTATCGTATCTGTTTTGAATATTAATTATAAGTGTAATGTTTCAAGAGAAGATAATAAATTGCATGAAATTTCCATTTCCATTTCATTTATGCAAAAAATTGATAGATTTGACTTTGAAGACGTAAAAACGTAACCAGAGAATTCTGTGAAAAAGTCTCAAACTTGTTTAAAAATTAGCGCTCATAAATTTTCATCGGGATTTTAAAAAGGTTAAATGAAAGAATAAATTTAATAAAGACGTAAGATGATAAAAGTACCAATTCCCGGTCGCGTGCCTGATTCTAGATATCCTCATTATTTTAGTCTTTAAATATCAATATTTAAACTTTTAACATAGAAAATATGTATATATCCAATATAAATATATATACATTTTTTATATTTTAAAAGTTTAAATATTTATATTTGAGGACTCAAACAATAAGAATGTTCAAGATGAGGTACGTGTGCCTAGGTATCTTTATCTTACTCTCAAAATTTCTTAGAGTGAAGTTTCACTCGAAAAGCGGAGTGACTATCGAATCACTCGAATTTGAGTGAATTCTCCACTGTGAATCGTCAAGGAAATATTATCAGTCAAAATTGAAGAGTGAATCTGGGTGTAATTCACAGAAACATATTTACTTTAACTGTCGCAGAAACATATTTACTTTAATCGACTGAAACATTGGCTCATGTGGAGTCAGACTCCACTCCAAACTTGAGTGAAACATTCACGCTCGCGACTTCGAGTGGCAATATTTTCACTACCGCTTCGAGTGAAAATACTGCCATTTTTTCACTCGTTCCGAGTGGAATTCCACTCCAGAAAATTCAAAGGGTAGGATATCATAGTTTACGAGAATAAATGCTCGACCCTGGTTTAGATAATTAAATAACCATTTTCATTGACGGTTTGACAATTTCGCGTCCTGGTAATTTTGCGATTTTTTGCGAATACCGCGCTATCGCGATTTTACGGTAGATCGCGTAATTTCGCGGTGGAAAGATTGAAGGACGAGGAACTGCAGCGGCATATACCTGGTATTACGTAGTAAATCCTGCACCGCGGCGGCTGCTCTCGCGATGTTCGCTCGAGCATCTGGAACTCGTGAGTTCGGTATTTGAATAAATATGAAGTCGCGGCGTGGTACGGAGAAAGAGAGTGCGGAGGAAAGAAAGAGAGAGAGAGAGAGAGATATGCGGAAAAGGCTTGGGTAAAAGGGTCGTACGCGGCGCCTCGTTCTATTTTACGCCATTGTGATACCGCAGCCCCTCGCACTTCGATTTCCTTGAAAGCTTTCAAGGAGGTGGAACGCGCTCCTCTCTCGCCCTTGCAGACGAGCAGCGTGCTCGCAAAGACGGCTGATTAATGCTCCCACTCGTTAAGTCGGCGGATAAGTTGGCCTTTGAAAGGTCAATATTTCGATGAAAAGTGGCCTCCGCATTCTTACGTCCGAGTAGCGTAATTTATCGAGCGATTAACTCGGATTCCGCTCGACCAAGTAATTTGCGTTCGGCCGCGGAGAAAGAGAAAGAGAGAGGGAGAGAGCTCGATTTTGCTTTATTAATGGATCTTTATGACTTGCCGTCGAGAGCGAGAAACTTGGCAAAGGGAAAAACGGGAAAGGGAAAGATCAACTCTCGATACGCGGCAAAAGTTCATTCTTAGAGAATTATTGTTCTTTTTTCTTTTTTTGAGAGGAGGGGTGCGTAATTTCATGACGTTTGACAATCGTCCTCGTGATTACTCAGTAGTTTTTTTCAAGAGAGAGAGAGAGAGAGAGCTCGAAAGCAGACGACGGAAAAGAGTTCGCGTCCGGAAATTGCGAATTGCGGATTTAATTCGGGACATTAATTCGCGACACGTGATGCCGAGCCAAAGAAACGAGCGGGGATTTACTCCACTGATCCATATAGCGGCTAATCTAATTACGATTAATTACGCTTTTGATAATCAGCGGTTTTAACTGGGGAAACATTAATTAATTTCGACCTCGGCACGAGACCGATACTAAATACGTCCAAGAAACTAAAAATTAAAAAAGGAAACACACGAAAAATAAAGAAGCAATGAGGACTCGCGCGGATCGCGAATTAAAGTCGAGCGACGTCGGCGAGAAATCGGCGTCGGTGATTGATGATAATGCGCGATCATTTTGCGATTTCTGGGTGACGTTTTTACGATAGAGAGAGAGAGAGAGAGAGAGAGAGACAGGGAAAAAAAGAGAGAGAGAGAGAGAGAGAAAGAGACTTTTATTCAGTCTTTTCAGCCGTTGATGACCTCCCGCCTTCGATTTTGATTGCAGCACCGGCGAGAGCGACGAGTCAGGTTCTGCTGGGCGAAGTCGATATTACGCTTCGGGACGACAGCAACGGCGATGTTACGACGGAAGAGCCGTTTCCCAAAAAGTGCATCGTAGACGGGAACGCCTATTCTCACAGCCAAACGGTAACAACTGATAGAACGAGAAAGCGAGCGAGAAAAGGAGAAAGAGGGAGAGATTCCCAACGGAGAAAAACTCGTTTCGAGTACTTTCGTCGCGCCGGACAATCAAAGGGCTCCTCGGAAAACGCTGGACTCTATTTCGCGATTGTACGCGAGAATCGATGAGAAATATCGTCTATTTGAAATATCTAATTTGACGGATGAAATAATCGAATAAAATGAGCATTTCTCTTTTTATCTTATACATATTATATATATTATGAAAAATAATATCAATATTTATATTTTCGTCAATATATATATATATATATATATATATATATATATATATATATATATAATATCAATAATATCAATATTTTAAAGGCCCGCATTAATAGTCGTCACTTGAAATTTGTCACACTTAGATCTGAATTTAGGCTCGTTTAATAGTTGTCATCTAAAAGTATCTCTCTAAGGCCAAATTCCACAACATCCGTTTAATTTTAACTATCGGTTAAATTTCAGTAGTGATTAGTTAATTCTGATTAGCTCTTCTTAATATCAAATGCGATTAGTTAAGTCCAATAGAATAACCAGCCAGTTAAGTTAACTGGAGGTTGTGGAACTGGGCCTAAAAGTATCTCATGCAAGATACTTAGGTTTTTATTTAGAGTTAGATTTAAGTTGATCGATCCAGGTACGTTATATGTGACATTTACATCTGTGAAATCGCGATTCAGCTGAAAAAAATTCTCGTCTAACTCTGAGTTCAAATCTGAGTGTCTCATTTGAAACGAATTTCAAGCAGTTATTGATACGGGCCTTGGGCCTGTATAGTCGTTGGTTGAAACTTGTCACACGTGAGATACTCAGATCGTAATTTAGATTGTAACTTAGGATTTGAGTTTTCCAGTTAAATCATGTAATACACGTGACATTATATTTGTAATAGTAGTTTAGCTGAAAAGCTTACATCTAACTCTAAATCTAAGTATCTCACTTGAGATAAATTTCAAGTAACGACTATTAATACAGGCTTTGCAGTTTGACGTGAGTTTCTCAGTTCAACTGCAATTGCAAATATGATGTCACGAAAATCATATGATCCAAGCAAAAAGTTCTGGTATAATTCAAAATTCAGATCTGAATATCTAACGTGAAACAAATCTCAAGAAAAGGCTGATAATACGGGCACTTAAGAGCGATGAATTATGACCGCGAGATTCTTTTTGCTTAAATATTATGTTAAAAAGAGAGAGAAGGAGAAAGAGGGAGAGAAGAAAAGAAATCAAATGAGAGTAGAAAGTAATATGACTTTCGAATATAGAGATTGTTAAAGTGAACCGCGCCGCTTTTAGCGTTTTACACGGATCTCTTCACTTGCAATAACGCGTTATCACTATTTTCAGCGTGAACCGCTAACAAATCGCACGTCTGGCAAATTGGTGCTTACCACGTGTAACTGGGAACAGCGTCAATTGTACTTGCAGCTGAAAGCCAGCGAGTAATACCTTTATCTCTCTTTTTTCCTCTCTCTCTCTCTCTCTCTCTCTCTTTGATTTCCTTCTGGGAAAATCCACTAAATCCCATAAATCAAGGTCTTCGTTATTTCATGCGCAATTACTAGATTCTGTCCCTATCTTCGACGTTATCGCAGTGTCTGCCACTTCGCGAGATTTCCTTCGCGTTCTCTTCTCGCCTTGATAATTCGTCCATTTATCTTCTAAATCAATTAGACGCAATTGATGCTTGCAAACTGTATATCGTGAATGATATACTGCATCCTGCAATGTATATCGTCCGTCTAATTAGTAACAGGCACCTCCATCTAATTAGTGACCTGAGTTAGTAGCTTATAACACGAGTGTCATGCAAAGAGGTCGCGTTTCTCGACGGAGGTTTGTCTCACATCGGGATGAGTGTACTATGAATATATTGTTCTATTTATTCAACGTATCTGGTCTCCTGGACATTTTTTCAGAGATGAAGGAAAATTGCACGACAACTTACTAACGCAGCATAAAACCCAAATTGTTTCATCGTACTATGTTTTATCACGTTGTATCTTTCACATTAATTTAATTATATAATTTTTAATTGGAAATTTAGATGCTACGCGTCGTCGCGCGCGAAATCATTCAAAAGCGGACGTGCACATATATACTAAGAAAGAAAATATCTAAGAACTATTTATTTGGCGAATACTGATAACATATTTATTTATATCATTATTAAAATATTTATTTATTTATTTATTTAAATTTATTATTTATTATTTATTATTTAAATTTATTTATTTAAATAACAAGATACACTTTCCTAAAATTTTAGTTCTTTATAAGAGTAATTGTTATTTAAACAAAAGAATTTAAATTGAAATAAATATGTTATTATATATAGTATTCAATCCGAATAAATATTTTATATCTATATATTATATATTTATATATTTATATATATATATATTTATATATATATATATATATATATATATATATATATATA